AAGTAAATAATTTTGGGTTACAAATTAAGATTAAGAAATTTAAAATAAAAATGTATATAACTGTTCTTCAAGAACAGAGAAAATTTGATCTTGTAAAAACATTGCTACTTTTTTTTTACTGTATGTGTACGTATAATACATAAGTTTTTTCATGTATCTTTACATCAAACTCCTCCAAATCTAAACAAAGCAAAAGAAATTCATCACTTGGAGATATACAGATCTCTCATTGGAATTTGGAACCAAAACCCTTGAAGTGTGTTTTGTTTCTTGGTGTGGTCAACTAACTCAAAACTAGCCGATCAGAATCAGAACCAAAAAGGGTTTCTCATTCACCGATCTATCTCCTCTTCCTCTGGATCATCAAAATCTTCTCAATGATGATCATAAGGAAGAGTCTAAAGCAGGAGCATCAGATCCTTTCATGATTCTAAGTCTTTTACAAGAAGAAGAGAACATATCCCATGGAACATCACCAACCAACATCCAATCTCCATCTTTATCCTCGTACGTTGGTACAAATCCAGATCCTCTTTTGTATCCTTCTCTTTCGTTGTATTCACCGATCGTGAACTTGAACATGTTCTCTAATGCTTTGAGTAGCTCTTGGTAGTTTTTGTATGTTTTGAGATCGATCTTGCGGAGGTATGGAGCTCCGTCCATACTCACTTTCACATAGCTTACACTGTTATTATTATTGTTCTTACGGTAAGATCTCACCGGTGGCCAACCAACGATTTGAGTTCTGTAAATATATAATCAAAAGAATCATCATTAGTACAAGTATTTCATCATTTTGAAATAAGTGAATTGAAAAAAAAAAAACAAACTCAGATCTAACTACTTACTTTGTAGGAGGCATAGATTCTTCTTCGTTTAGTGTTTCTTCATCGAATTGACGTTTGTTGCTTCTAACGCAAGAAACCTCTTTTTCTTGTTTAACTTCTTGTTCCGTTCCGGGTAATCCAAGACGTAGCTCTGTGTCCTTAAGGTTAAGCTCATTGACTTTCTCGTACGCCATTGTTTCTTCTTGAAAAACAATCTTTCTCTCTTTATGTTCGTTCTTGTGATGAGTTAGAATCCCTC